GAACGCAGACGGCGCGGCTCTGGACACAAAGGGGTGCCATACTTTCTCCTGCTTTCGCAAACAGGTCCAGTCACACGTAGGGGTATACTCAACCGAATGGTCTTCGCCTCTTTGGGCCTCATGGACGCCTCTTGGGGCCATCTTGCGCGCCTGTTGGGGCCATCTTGGGTTTTAAAGATTCATCAAGAGACCGCGAATGGATGTCGAGATTTTTCGGGTGAGAAAGTAGTGCGTTTTCATATGTTTTCTGAACATCGCATCTTGAAATTATTGAAAACCCATTGTGTTTGGCAGGATTTCGACATGCGCGCGCGGCGGCCGCGCGCATGTGCACTTCGTCTCATTTTTTGCAAGGGATGGTGGCCCTCGCAGGCGCGCAACCGTTGTTGGAGAAGTTCAAAGCACCTGAAGAAGTAGCACGCAAAGACCCTTTTGACAGAAATGTTTAAAAAGTGGTGTGTTTCCTATGAATCCGCAAGAGCGCGCGGAAGGACATTTTGACAATTTTTTCTTAAAAAACCATTGGGTTTTTGATGTTTTTATGTTAAAATCGCTACGAAACCTAAGGTTTTGGAAGGATTTCGTCTTGCGAGCGCGAATGTCCACTTTACCTTATTTTTTGCAAGGGATTCTTGAAATTTGATCAACTAAGAACAAGAATTTTCATTTTCTATTGTTTTTTGCAAGGGAAAACGAGCGTCAACAAAAAACCGGATCCGGGGGTAATCCACTTTTCTGAAGCTTTCGCAGAAAAATGATGAAAATGTAGCTGCGGCCTAGGTTTTGGGCGGGGGGCGTGCACCAGGGGGTCCAACAATAATAATTCTTTAGAAGTAATAGTGTTCAACAACAACAACAACAACAACAACAACAACAACAACAACAACAACAATAATCCACATCGCGGAATTCCACTTCGGTCACGTACCCATGGACAGTGAATGACCGTTCACGTTCGGTTCAGACCCCTCACTCTGATATTGTTAATTTAATAGTGTGAACTTAAAACGGGGAAACGGATGAAATCGGATCCGTGGACCCTGGAACCAGCCCGTGTTATGATTCTACGGGGATGGGGCTCCGGTCATTAACTTCCAACTCATCATCGCCATTTGCACCTCGAGAGGAAAAACCTTTCGTCCTGCGTAAGTAGAGGTCGCTGCGGGTTTCCGGAGGTCTCGAAGACGCCACTGCACACGCAAGGAGGGCACACCACGCCGACAGAGATGAGGAGGAGGAGGAGGACCTCCCCATCCTCCCTTCTCCCCCGTCCTACCTATGGTAGCGGTGGTGGAAAATCGGCCCATCAACTCCCGCGCCCCATAAAGAAATCCACAGCAAACGCGCCCACTACAGTCGGACCTAGGACAGAAGAACATCGTCCAAGAGCATTAGGGCCTCCGCCGGCCGAAACACACAAAGAACATCCCAGGGTGCCCTCCCGAGGATGCACAAGAACATCCAACAAGCACGAAGAACACTAGCTAAGGGTACCCTCCCCGAAACGACCTCGACCTTATGGCTCGGTCCGACTGTAGTACAGTTTCCCCGGCGGCACCCGTTGGCGGCGGAGGGCTCGGGACAAGAAGCTGGTCCCAGGTCTCAAGGGGGGGAGGGCTCGCGGGGTTCTGGGGGGCCCGAAAGCTGGACCAGCGGCGAGCCGCCAGAGGCCTGGGCCGGCGCCCTCGCGGATCGATCCGGCCCGAGAGATGGAGGCATTCGTGGTGGCATCGAGAGGTTACGGTCGGCAGTCTGCACGACGTTGTGACTGCTCTCCACACTGTCTGACTGCAAACCTCTGCCTCCCGCTGAGCACGCCCTCCTCCTGTTTGCCCCACCTTCCTTCTCCTCCACGAATGTTCGGCTGTGCCTCGTTATCGATGTTCGGTTCGGCCTTACCCTCCTGGCCGATATTTGAACAACCACCGCGGACCCACCAGGACAGCCCGTATGCGCAGCAAAAGGAGTATTGGCGAGCAGGCGACCGAACTACAGACATACAGAAAGACAGGCAGACAAACAGACACAGACGGACAGTCAGACAGACAGACCGACAGACCAACACACACAGACACACAAGACGGTATACTAGAAAGCAACACAAACGGTCGGCAGGAAGACAAACACGGCGCAACCTCGAAGCCGAAGGAGTGCAAAACTCAATCCAGGCAACATTCCCTAGAACAGAGGGTACGCTAGGAAGCAAGGTAGAGGACAAGCTGCGAGGCAATCCAGAATGCATGGGCCATGGCGGCTGAAACAGGTGGAAGGCACGCCCAGGGGCACGTAAGCGGCACTCCAGCTGCTAAGCTGAAGTCTTACCATGGCCAGGGGGGTCAGCAAACGCAAGCTCGGGGGGCAGCTATCAAGAAAGCCATAGGCCGCCGATCACACAAGGAAGAGGGAAAGCAGGAATACATAGAAGGTGAGCCAGACGACGTCTGAGCGAGGAAGAGGCACGCCCGAAGCCAAGCTAGACGGCGGACAATAAAATACGCCACAGGGCATGCGGGAAGACACTACAGAACATAGGCTAAAAGGCAAGCCGAGGGACAGCCCAAAGGAACCCCAGGAAACGATCTTGCAGGCAAGCAGGCTGAAGGGAAGCAACTGCAACTGGGGGTGGCTTCCGCAGCCCGCCAGTACAAGCTGGGTCGCTGCGCGCGCTGACAAGGCAGATGTGTGGCGACGCAGGCATACAAGGCTGGGCAGAGAACCGACAAAATGCCAAGACTGCGACCTTGGAGGCAGACGGGACATCCAGCTGCGGTAGCAGGCTGGACAAGCAGAGGGAGGCAAGCACAAGGGCAGGCCAGAGGACATGCTTCGAGGCGGGCATTTATCCATATCCAACGCCTGGGAACCGACGTCATGGTGCCCCAGCGGGCGGCGGATGCCCTCGGGGGCGCGAATCTATCCATATCCACCGCCTGTGCAGGTCCGCGAAGACCGATCCCCCAGGCGTTGGTTATGGATAAATCCCCGCCTCGGAATGCTGCATTGCACCAGTGCGCTCCGCGTCCATGCCCATCTCCTTTCTCATCTCCCCTCCTGCTGCTTCCCCTGCATCAGCTCCCCTCCATATCTGGTCCCTCCTCTCCTCCATCCTTCTCCTTGTCCAGGAAGGATGGCTCTTTTTGTTGTGCGTGGTGAGTTTCTGAATCAAAGACAAAACATAATAGTTGGAATTATGTTGCTCTCATCGCACTTAAGGACAACATCCCAGATATGGTTTCGAGCACCCAGAAAAGTATCGCAACAATGTCGAACGAGTATCGCCTCCCAGGGCCCGACACGTGAAAACCATCCAGTTTCTGTACTTTCCTGGTGCTCGAAATTATTTTTGGCGGTCAAGGCTAAAATAGGTTGGAACATCATAACTTTGGAACAACATCTCACGTACCAGCTGGTGCTGGATCGAACCGCACTGCCGCGATCATCAGATCGCGCCCTGCCACTCCAGGAGACGGGGGCTGGCACACGTATACGGCATGCTCATGCTGTGACGACCCTGGCGTTGGCTTCTGACGCGGCGTGGATCGTTCAACCTTGAGCGATCGGCGGCTCTTCGATCGCCAGATCCCTCCGCATCGGCCCCGACTGGGCCTAGCAGAAGAAAAAACGCCATGAACATGAACTTTTGGCGCTCCGCGCGAATTTCTTGGATCGGCGCTGGACCCCCCTCCCTGGCGCACGGAGCGCGCCAGGGGCGGCGCCAGAGGCGCCGCCAGGGGGGGTCCAGCGATGATTCAAGAAATCCGCGCGGAGCGCCACAAGTCTGTGTTTCTGGCGCTTTCTCTCATTCGAACTACGTGGATCGTTCCACCTTGAACGATCGGCGGTCTTCGATCGCCAGATCTCGGGCGTTGGCAGAACTGGGTTTAGGGGCGCCCCCCCCGCCCGGTTCCGCCAACCGGAACTGCCTTCACCCGAAAAACACCCGGTTTATGGGTTCTGGGCAATTCAGGGGCTCCGGGGCCCTACCACAAACTGTGGGTCCCCTTACCTGGGGTCCTGGCCATACCCGAAGATCCGTCCGCATCGGCCCCTCCCGGGCCTGTGCCGGCGCTCCACCTGGAACGCCCGCGGCGGGGTCGCTGCCGCGCTCCGGCACGGCGCGAATCTCTGCCGAACCCACGGGGCACCGCGCACCTCCTTCCCCCCATCCACGGCCTCCTCCTCTTCCTCTCAGACCTCCTCCTCCTCCTCCTCCTCCTCCTCCTCCTCCTCCTCCTCCACGACCCCTCCTCCTCCACGACCCCGCCTCCTCCACGACCCCTCCTCCACGACCCCTCCTCCTCCACGACCCCTCCTCCTCCACGACCCCTCCTCCTCCACGACCCCCTCCTCCTCGTCCTCCTCCTCCGCCTCAAACGCACCGCGTACCTCCTCCTCCACCTCCTCCTCCTCCTCCTCCTCCTCCTCCTCCTCTTCCTCCTCCACGACCCCCAGTCCGGAAGCATGCTTCGAAGAGGAGCCTCGAGGCAGAAGCAGCAGTGGACGCTGCTAATTACACCTCTGTCTTTTTCTCTCTCTCTCTCTCTCTCTCTCCCTCTCCCTCTCTCTCTCTCTCTGCCCCCCATCCCCTGGGGGTCCCGAGGCAGTGCGGTGACAGGACGTGCGGTGACCTCCGAATCCGCGACGACCTCACCGCACGGTCCGTCACCGCACGGTTTCGGGATCCTTGAGGTCCCAGTTACCCGAGACATCCTCGGAGGACGACCCAAGTCCCAAAACTGTGCGGTCACCCGAATCCCCACTGACTCACCACACGGTGTGGTCACCAAACTGCCTGGGGCCACCCCCCTCCCCCCGCTTGGGGAAACCAAAAGGTACCGATACCGCTACACCCTCGACCTCTCCCGGGGTGCGTTCTGACCGGGAATTCGAGGCGAATCCAGCGGTGGCGACGAGGGCCTCCGAGCAGGCCCAAAGAGGGGAACACCAGGGAAGGATAGAGGTATGGGTACCCCTTCCTCCTCTGACCGCTTGCCCCTCGCCCCAGCGGAGCCGTTCATCGCGGCGGCGCTGTCGATGACGGCGCCGTCCACGATCCCTGCCAGCAGCGCCTGTGGCGGGCTGCGCGTGGACGACTCGACAGTGCAGCAGGCAGACACCCCGCTGCGCTGCGGCTGCAAGTGGAGCGAGGGCGTGCGCACGGTCCGGCACCCAGCCACGGGTTCCGTCGAGACTCAAGCTTGTCCCTCCGGCGGATCCAGCACAGACCATCTCACGCAGACATGATACACTCGAAGCTCGGCGTAAGGATGCAGGGTAAAAGATGACGCAGGACGCTTTCGCGTAAATGAGAGAGCTCAAGGCATCCACGATCAGCTCAGGGAGAAGCCGGAGGTTGTCAAAGATGCAAGCGTATCCTTGAAAAGGTGCTTCATACCTGCGTAAATGAATGCGTGTGCTTTGTAAATGTCTTTAGATGGTGCGCCCAACGAGCCGCATGTGCCGAATGAGTTGAATAGCGGGACGCGCCAAACGAGGCGAATGAGCCGTATACTCAGAACGCTGGACGTGGATCGGGAATTATAGCCGTATTGTCAGTTGGGCTGCGCCGACAGGCCGAATGGCGGCCGCGCCGAATGAGCCGGACTGGCCGCGTGGGCTAGAATGCTGCGCTGGCTGCCCAAGCTCGGTCCGCGCACAAAATTCGCCGACGGCGCCCACCTGGCTGGCAACATGCCGATTGAGCCGAGTGCGCCGATGGAGCCGACTTCGACGCCCGAGCCGAGCACAGGGAAGGCGCCATGCAAGAGCCCTCTGGGGAGGCGCATTCCGGCCACCTGGAGATCCGCAGAGCGTTGTATCGACAGCGACGGCGAACTTCCAGTACAACAGACAACGCGCTCTCCGACAAGAAAAACGATGGCATAGATAGAGAGGAGGAGTTTGAGGAGGCAAATCCCCTGCAATCGTTGCATAGCCCACCACTAATTGACGCTCTTCTGCCGAGCAATTCGTTTCGGAGCGGGCGGACATTCATTCGGGCGGTCGTGTCACGTCGCGGCGGATGGGTCCTTGGGCGAAAGGGTCGGCGCCAGATCCCCGAATCAAGCGGTGAGCATCATCGCAACAACCATCGTAGTCCTCATCATCACACTGCTCATCCTCATCCGTAGCCATTTTTGGCTCCAGGTCATGCAGCGTCCGAGGACCGCGAGTCCTCTGGGTCGTTACGAGCGCGATCTGTCGCCACGGAGCCCAAATCGCACGACAACCTTATGCTGCGCTGGTGGCTCGCCCGAGCACCCGCTCGGGCGCGCGCGTTAGCTTTCACCTCTCAGGTCGATTGCTGTGGGCGGCCGTGGAGCGCCAAGCAAGGCGCTCGACTACATGGCCTGAGGGTGCAGCTGCAGAACTGAACCATGCCACGGGGGCCTTCGGTGGAGATCCCTATGGGGCCACGAAACGTGTGAGGAGTGTGCCAAAGTGGAGGGGGGGCGGCATGCGAAGCATGCCACAGGAGCCTTCGGTGGAGCTCCCTATGGGGCCACGAAACGTGTGAGGGGTGTGCCAAAATGGAGTGGGGGGCTGCATGCGAACCATACCACTGGGGCCTTCGGTGGAGCTCCCCATGGGGCCACGAAACGTATGAGGTGTGTGCCAAGGTGAGGGGGGGGACTGGAGAAGGGAGGAGCGGGAGGAGGAGAAGAAGAGGAGAAGGATTTCGGCATGCGCGCGCGACGACGCGCGCGTGTGCACCTTGTGAAATGTTTTGTAAGGGATTGACTCTTGGCAGCTGAGGATTTGTGATAAACGAATGCGCACGCATAGTCTTATTTGACGAGGACGGATGGGGGGGGTCGAACCAGTTTGGCTAGGATGGTATACATTCACACTTCCTATGAACGATGGAGCAAAATGTTGTGTACATTGTATATCCCTGGAGGGGATCCATAAGTCCGGCGGGGGCAGTGCGGTAGATTCTATCTCGCTTAGAAAAGAGAATATATGTTGTATCTACATGGTGCAATTTATGTGGTGCAGTCGACGTGGTGCAATATACCTGGGGCCGCGACGGCGATAACGAGGCGGCGAGCTCGACACCGGGGCCCAGACGACGGGCGGCGACGAGGCGGCGACGGGGCGGCGTCGGCGACAAGAAGACGGCGAGCTCGACACCAGGGCCCAGACGACGGGCGGCGACGAGGCGGCGAAGGGGCGGCGACAGCGCCAACAAGACTGCGGACCCGACACCAGGGCCTGGAAGACGGGCAGCGACGTGGCGGCGACGGGGCGGCGACGGCGACAACAAGGCGGCGGACCAACGGACCAGGCACCGGGGCCCAGCTCCCTCGGTAGAAAAGCAAGAACCTCTACGCGTGCAAGCACTGTTTGGGCAACGAGCTCGAGGACGAAGGGGAACCAGGCGCTGCTCAAGCAGGCAGAAGGCAGGGGGGGGGCTCGCGCCCAGGCAGCCACCCAGGCAGCAGTCCCAGGGCATGGCAGAAGTACCGATCACGATCAGGGCGGCAGGGCGGCGGGCGGCGGCGCCGCCGCCCCACGGGGGGGAGGCCCGCAGGCGGGCGCGCCTTGGCCTCGGGGCCACCCAGGCGGCTGAGGAGCATCTGCGGAGTGAGCCCCTGCAGCTTCTCCTCTCGGGGGGGAAGTGCGGGCTGGGTGCGCCCTGAGGAGGAGGAGGAGGAGGAGGAGGAGGAGGAGGAGGAGGAGGAGGAGGAGGAGGAGGAGGAAGAGGAGGGGTATGAGAAGATTCGAGTTTTAGCTCGGAGGGTGCGCTGCGCGCTGCTCCTCAGTAATCTGAGAATCTAACTATGAATCTCTTTGGCCAACTTCGTGCAGCCAGACGACTGGCCCTTCTCGAGCGCTCTCGGGCACTCCGGCCCCATCCTGGTGAGCGGCTGGCATACCTGCACAAACTTCCCGCTCCTTCTGTACTGGTCCGTGCCGAGACCGCTACATCTGGAGCAGGCCGACAATGCAGAAACCAATAGGTACCGATGCCGCCACTCCCTTGACCTCTCCCAGGGCGCGCTCTGACCAGGATTTCGGAGCGAATCCAGCGGTGGCGAAGAGAGCCTCCCTGGAGGCCCAGGAAAAACGGGGGAAGGGTAGCGGTATTTTTCCCCGGAAAGGCGCCGGCCCAGGGCTCTCTTTTAGAGGCTTTACCCCTGGGGGCGACTTGAGACGGGCCAGCGAAATTATTTGCGACGAATAACGAGGTCGCGTAGGACCGGCAAATTAAAATGTGAGGATGTCCCGAGCGAAACGCTGTTGTTTTGAAATCCCGATCGAACAAACAAAGGGTAAAGTAAGCATTTGCGTTTGTTGCGGACGTCTCGGACGAAACGCTTGAGTTGCATTTTTTTTTCCCTCCTCACGTCGACCACGGCGGCTGGATGCCTCGACAACTTCGCATGGCCAATGCCCCCGGACATGGAAGGAAGCCGGGCTGCGTGGGCAGCCGACCACCAAAGAATACGGAGACGCTAACAGGCACGTGGCAGGGACAGCGAAAGAGCACCCGAGACAATTATTGCCCGGGGGCCAGGACGGAAATGTTACTTAAGACCGGGTTTTTCGAGACCTGCGGTCTGGCGAATGCGCTGGCCAACACGGGCCTCCCGATACGAATTCCCACTTAACACGTATCTGTCAAAACGGGCCGTAGACTGGTCATGCCCCAGCGCTCGGGAATCCCCCGCGAGCGCAGCTCCGGTGGAGCGAATCAAACGCACCAACACGCTATCATAAGGGGGAGAGGCGGCAGCGGCGGCAGCGGCAAGGAGGGACGGACAGAGGGAGGGAAGGGGAAGGGGAGGCCGAGGGGCCGGGCAAGCAAGACAGGCCGAGCCCACTAGGGCTACGGCGGCGGACGGGCACCCACATGCGCGGACGCCACTGTGCGCGCGGCGGGGTGCCCGCGAACCAACTCCAGCGCCGCCTGGCCTAAGGCTGAGGCGGCGGGCGCCGTGATGGAGTCCGCATGCTGCCAGCGGCAATGCAATCTATACACGGCCGCCGTGCGGACCGCCATACGGACGAATATGTTCCGGCCGAACCTCTGCACGGGGTGCGAAAGCAACAAAAACTCAGAGAGTGCGAAGGGGGAAGGAGGCAGGGCGAGGTAACGCCAGGCAAATTCCTGCACAACTGGGCACAGGGAGTAATGCTCTATGGAATCTTCGGCGGGACAGCCAAAGATGCAGGCACAGCGTTGCTGGAACCGGCGCCCCGTGCACCACCCGTTGAACCAGGTGCGCATCAAGGCAGCCCTGACCCGCGGAGGCAAAGCTGATCGCAAGAGGTGCAAGATCTCCTGGGCCCGTTGGGGGCGCGCCGCAGCGGGCAAACCGATCTGCCAACGAGCGAGCCTACGGCGCCAGAAGCGCTCACCTGGCTCCGGGCGCGTCCGCTGGAGGATGTCGAGGCTTGTCTTCTGCCACGCCCTGCGGCACCTAGCCGCCTGGGCGGGAGCGTCGTCGTCGGTGCCGCTCCTCAGGATGTGCGCCTTGACCCGGGCCGGCGTCCATCCGAGCTCCCCGAAGTGGTCGAGGGCATTGTCCAAGTGGAGGATGACGGCATCCTGGAACCATCGGTCCCACGAGCCCCGCCTGTACAAGAACTCGCTCTGCGTCATGTCCAGCCGGAGTGCCCTCGCCCTTGATCGCACCTGGAGGCCGCCTTCGTTGGACGCCTCGTATGTCGCCACCCGGAAACGGGCCGCCAGGGACAGTAGCTCCAGATCCGGGAAGCTGCCAGAAAAGCCAATGGATCGGGGGTCCCGAAGGACCGATGCCGATAACCACCCGCGGGGGCCTGGGAACAGCTTGGCGATCGCAGCGCGTTCGTGGACAGGCCAGAACTCGGGCGCCGGGAGCAGTTGAGCCACGAATCCGAGCACTGAGAACAGGTAGACCCGGGTCGCCAACAACGCGAGCTGGAATCCGCAGCCCACCTTGCCCCAAAGCTCGGCCCTCTCGTCGAACTTCGCGAGCGGTTTCTGCCACGAGCGCCCCCCGCTGTCGGGGCCGAGGGTGAAGCCGAGATATTCGGCAGCATAATCGATCTTCATGGCCCCCCAGCGCGGCGCCAGCGCCGCGATTTGGTCCCGCAGCACGGCCAGGTCGGTCTGCCACAGCGGCACCACCACCGTCTTGCCCATGTTCAGCTCCATGCGCGAGATGAGGGCGTACTCGTGGAAAAGGTCCGCCAGCGACGGGATATCGCGCAGGAGCTCCTGCGAAACCAGGGCCAGGTCGTCGGCGAAGGCCCTCGGGGTGGCGTCGGTGACAAGTCGTTGCAAACGACGTAGTAGGAGATCTGCTGCAATTGCGAACAGCAGGGGCGAGAGCGGACAGCCCTGGCGCACCCCAGCCGTCAAAGCGAAGCCCTCGAACCGTTGTCCCCCGATGCAAATCTGGCAGAAGTTGCCCCGGTACAGCGCCGCGATGAAGTTGAGCATGGCCGGCGGCACGCCGATCCAACCCAACAGCTCCATGATGAAGGACTGGTCGATCGAGGGGAAGGCGGCCGCGAAGTCGAAGAATATGCAAGCTCCGCCTTCCTGGGCCAGGGCCGTCGCGCGCATCTGAGTGTCGATGTCGACAACGTTGGCTAAAAGTGAGCGCCCTCCCACAAACCCACGCTGAGTCCCCGAAATCCAATCCTTGAATATGGATTCGAGGCGAAAGCGAGCAGCGTTGGCGAGGATCCTGTTGTCAAAGTTGACCACGTTGATTGGTCGAACCTTGTCGGCGTCGTAATAGTGGCCGACCTCGTCGTCGAATCCAGACTCCTTCTTTGGGAGGAGGTGGAGCAAAGAGCTATTGAAGTCCGGCAGGTGAAGTTGTTGCAATTCCTCCCCGTCGGGGCCGGCGAGGCGGCGAAAAGCTCCGAATAGCACGTCGACGCCCAACCCGCCCAATTCGCAATAGGCCGCCGCCGGAATGCCGTCGGGCCCCGGGGCCGACGAGCCAGAGCATCGAATGGCCTTCTGGATGTCCTCGCGGCGGATTTGCCACTGCGGCGAGTCCGCCGGTGGCAACGGCGCGAGCACCTCAGGGGTCAGGTCGTCCTGAAACCAGCGTCGTCGCAGCGCCTGGTCGGTCGACTTCTTGGCAAAGACCTGCCTCCAGTGTGCCCGGAAATCTGCGGCCATCTCGTCGGGTCGCGTGTGGAGCGCCCCATGCTTGTCTCGCGTGGCCGAAACAAACTTCCCCTTCCCAGGCGACAGCTTTGACAAGAGTCGAAGGTTCTTCTGGCGGGCGCGATGCTTGAGCTCCTCAGGGAAGTCCGAAGGTGCTTCTTGAAGACGCGTGAGCTCCGCGATCGCGTGCTCGCGAGCAAGCTCGACTGCGTGCTCCCTGACCGGGGCGAGCCGCCTTCCCGTCGCCAGAGACGGGTCGTATGGGTTGGGCACCAAGGTACAGAGGTGCGGATACCGTTCGATCGCCGCCGAGATCGCGTGAGTGGAATGGGACTCCACTGCTCTGATGAACGCCATGGTACGTCCCAGCTTGTCGTCCGGTGCCTCTGCCAGGCGGCTAGCGCAGGTCGCCTCGAAGGAGATGGATGCGTCACGCATGGCCCGACGTAGGGCTGCGAGTCGTTGCACCTCGTTCACGTCGGCCATTCCCTCGAGGAGGGAATGAAATCGAAGTGCCACGGCTTGAGACCAGCCTGGACGTCGAACCAACTCTGAAGAAATGGGCCTGGAGGTCGATGGCCTTGGCGGCGGCGCCCGGCGCGAAAGGAACACGGCCCTGTGGTTGGACAGCTGGAAGTTCCAGTCGTCCACCCCAATTGCGACCTGTCGATCAAGCAGATCCGTGGCCTCCATGTTCACGTAGATGCGGTCCAGGCGCGAGCGAGCCTGGGCGGAACTATGCGTCATGCATGGTTGGTGTACTTCGGCGAAGCCCGGCAGGAGGCGCGCCCAGTGCACCTCCTCCTCGTGGTCCCGACGCCCCGTGGCAGCCCCGGTGGTCTTCGAGATTCTGTCCCGCTCCTCGGCGACCCAGTTGAAGTCTCCAGTGATGATGGTGAGGGCGTCGTGGGACGGCCGCGTGGATCGCGCTATGGTGGAGCGAAGCTGGCCGCGTTGCTGAACCAGGGGGACAACGTCCAGCACCTCCATCTGATGGGCCCCCGCGTGCTCAGCCACGGGGCCGGCGAAGTCAGCGGAGGTGCCCGTCTGGAAGTACGACGCGAAGATATCCATCGAGCCGTGCGGACCACCCAGTCGGAGTACGGCGGCACGCCCAGGGTGAAGAATGATCCAGTCCCGGATGGGGAAGTGCTGCAAGAAGGAAACGTTGACAACCACTCCGACGCCTCCTCGGCGAGATGTGCCCGGGGCCCACCACGCCATGGTGCCGGGAGGGGCCTGGGCTAGCTGCAAGGACTCGCTCGTGCCGTGGGACTCGGTGATCGTGACGACGTCGTGGTCCCGCAAGAGGTGCAACAACTTCCCCCACTTCAGGCTGTGGCGGACCGCGTCTTTGGCGAAACGCTTGAGTTGCATAATGTGTTAAGGATGTCTCGAGCGAAGCATTTGTTTTGTGCTATAGATGGTTCCTCTCCTGGGGACCAGAATTCGGAGGATGTCTGAGGTGAAATGCTTGTGTTCACGTGC